GCCACACATTATCATTTCAGAGAACACACACAGCAGCGCACACACTGCTGCACAGATGGGTAGCATGGTCTCTTTCTGACAGATGAATAGGTAAATATTTCCCTTCCCATATTGTCTTTCTTCCACTCTCATCCTCCCATCCCTCCACCCTTCTCTTTCCTCTCTACACCTCCATGCCACACTCATCTTCTTTCCCTTGCCGTCATTTTTCAAGGCTCTTCGGTCCCAATGGTCTCGCCTTCATCTTATCACGGGGGCCGCTCACAGGCATCTGTTGTGCAAACACGCTTGCGTACACATGCACATATTTTGAATATATGATGAGAAGGATGGCTGTATGTATATGGAATCTCATACTCACGTATGCATGTATGAGGGCCTCAGCAAACAAAGAGTTGATGATAATTGTGCTGAAGACAATGGTGTGTTTTATAAAGCTTAATTCAGCCTATTGAGGCAGATGGGAGACTGACTGTGTGCTTATCTTGAGTTTTAATTAAATGACTTTAGTCTCCTATGAACACATTTCCCTGTGTAAATGCTAACTCAGACTGGTAGCACTGTATGTCTAATGGAGGTTACTGTCTTCAGGGATGTGGTCTTTTTGCCACCAGGAAGAGAAATGACTGGAACAAAGCACACACACAAACACATCTATTTTCCTCCCCTATTGTCTCTTTTGATTTAGTGGCTTCAGGGCTCTACTGTCTTTTTACTCTCAAGTAGCTACAAGAAGTGCTGCATTAGTGACTAGCTGTTCTTAAAATGGTCTATCCTCCTACATTCTCTCAACATACAGTGCACCTAACATATTTACAGGGGTATTTGATCCCATTAAAACAAATCATTCATATTCTGACATATTGCCAAACGGAGGACTAATTAAATGTATCCTCTATAAACAGACACTTGCACACATGCATTTAAAGATGCTATTTATAGTGGCAAGTTTTGAATTTTGATGAAACTTAATAAACTGCGATCTCCCTCTTTTTCTCTGAAGTGGCAAAAGTACACACATTCTTTACTCAATTAGAGGTACAGATACTTAGAGAGTCCTGGTTCAACTTTTTTACTTGAGTAAAAGTGAAAAAGTACAGTACCTGAAATATGCTCAGTAAAACGGTAGAAAGTACTCTTTCTTGGCAAAGCTAACTGAAACTTCAAATAGGTTAAATCTCCCTCCCTTGTCTGTCTCGGCGCATTACGTCATTATGTTGTTTTCGTCATGTTACATCTGTCACCACGATATGCAGCGGTCTTCATGTTGAGAGGGCGTGCAATGAAGTGAAAAGTTGTCAGAAACATTAATACTCAAGTAAAGTACAGATATCTGAAAAAACTACTTAAGTACAGTAATGATGTATATATAGTATTATATAGTATATTATTATATGCTTATATGAGTCTGCATTAATTCCTACCCTTAATATTTTTTCTTTGTCTCTATTCCAGCATATAACACTTCTTCTTCTTTTTGTTTCTTGGTAGAACCTTGTCTGATATCATTCTCTAATCAATACAAATCATTGTTAGCTCTTTCTCCGGGCCTGAAATACCAGATACTATCTCATTTCATAGATCCTGTTGTGCTCTCTGTTTATCTCCTTTCCACACACAAGCGACTCATCTTGCTCTGTGTCAGTGGCAGTGTTTCGGAATGTCATTCTGCATCCATTTCTCTCGGTTTATTGGTTACTCATTTCTCTTTCATAAACATTCGTATGTTGTCAGATATGTCCTGGTTAGTGTGACAATGGCGCACATACAGTTAGTCTGCTGTGTTTGAACAGGTGCATGTCTTTCTATTTTTTCCCAATAGTTGCAGAACTCTGTTTGAGTCCTGCTTAACATTAGATAGGAACAATGAATTGAGAATGTTTGAGAAGTTTTTTGACGTTAAAAATAGAAATGTGGAGTACAATAGGATGAATGGAAATAAAAGCTTCAGCTTGTTCAAATCTTATTCACTGTAAGTGTTATCCACCACTTGTGACAAAAGTGAATTCCTGGTTTGACATATAAACCAGTTTTTTGATGTTTTAAAGTTTCAAAAATAGCCCTCTTGCTGCATCGATTTAATTGAAAGCAAGTTGAGCTGACACCTAATCTATCTTTTCTTGATTTTCTCCTTTCCTGTCTATCTTTGACTGTTTCTTGCACACTGGTTTTGAAAAGTGAACAATAACAAGATACATTTCTCCTCTCTCATTTTAACAAGGAGAGTGTCAGTGTGCTTCTTGTTCATTAGTATCACACATCGCACCTCCATCACCCTTAGATCTGGGAGAGACAGAGGTGTCAAAATGACACTGTGCGTGCGCATGTTTTTCTGCCTCCACCTTAGGAAAATCCACAAAGGCCAATTCACACCAGTCTTTCTCTTTCTCTCAATATTCTATCTCCATGTGTTACTTTGCACCCCTGGCCTGAATTGTAATTTTTTTCCAGCAATGGTGTAAATTTTCTGAGCACTGCTGAAAGAATGAAAAGGACACATTGGCTACCTACAATATATACCTCAATATATACCTTCTCACCACTATTACCAACAAATTGGATATACAAGCCTTGAGGAGAAGCAAAAGCTAGTTATCTATTGAGGCCAAAAATAAATTAGCTTGTTTGTTCGCATTATTAATTTTATTTACCTTCCCTCCCACTGTTATTAATGAAATAGCTTGTGGGAGTATATTATAGATATTTTATACTCTTATGGCAAGAGCATTACATAGGAATAAATGTGAGTTTATTCAAACACCTACAAAAAAACGTTACTCACTGATGACTATAATGTGGGTACACACGACACAGTAGGGAACCTTGGTTCCAAAAAATGAACTATATCTTCCCATTTTCAGGACACTTTACTTGATTAATTATTGTCGAAAGCCCACAGGCTGCAAATAGTCCTTTGTTTACCAAACAAAGTGAAGGATTAAAACTGTATTTTGTGTTAAATACTCAGAGGGTTTAGAAGCACTGCTTGAGGGGATTCAAGCAAATGTTAATCACAAATAGAGAATTATTCATTTATTCATCCTTTTAACCATTCCATGCTCAGATTTTTGTTTTTAATTTATTTAGTTTTACTTTGGCATATGGGATATGTCAGGCAGATCTGAGAGGTCAAGGATGCCTTTGCCTGCAGGCCATTGGTTAATATTAATGACCATCAGCCAATTGGAACTCATCAATAGGCCAAAGGTTATCATGGGGTTGCAGATGCACAAAGTTAATGTAATTAAAGATGCATCATGTTGTCGATTGCAGAGAAAGTGTCTTTTCCACTCTTTTCCTAATGTCTTTGTTGAGCTGTCTTTCTCTTTATCGGCCTGTCGTGTTTGCTTATGTGAGTGTTTTTTTGTCTTAATGTCTTATGCTTTTCAAGGATTTTCAAATCCTAAAAAAAGATACGTATTCTTACTTTTTATTTCATTTCTCTCTTTGTTTTGGTGCTCATCTGTAAGAGGAGGGAACAATTAAGGAATTACAACCGCAGAAGTGAGATGCTTGATTAAAAATGAGTGAGGAGGGCGCCCGGTTAGCTCAGTCGGTAGAGCTGTTAACCCATATACGCAGCAGGCCGGGTTCGAGTCCGACCTGCGGTCCTTTGCTGCATGTTGCCCCCTCCTTCTGCCCCCCTTTCCTGTCTCTGTCCAGCTATCTCTATCAAATAAAGGCATAAAAGGCCAAAAAAATTATACTTTAAAAATGAGTGAGGAAAGATTTTTCAAAGAGGATCTGCCAGTTGTCGGTTACTAATAGCATCTTGGGTTACTTTTACAGACAGCTTGCAATATAACACATTACAGTAAGAGGCTCCAGTGTACTGCCTATTTCATTCCATTTAGATGTTTGATGTCAGAAAGCCTTTAATCAATGGCTTGCCTTACTTGTATTGAGAATGGTTTTCAATGTTTTCCGTTTTTGATATCATTCCAAGTCTGTCTTCAATGAGAAAAAAGGTCACTTTGGCAACTAACAGGATCCTCATAAAACAGGCAATTGGAAAGCTAGCTTGTCACAACTGGATTTTGCTGCTCACAATATTATTATGAATAAAATAATGTTTCCATCTATATTTATCATATTGCTAATTTTGCCCTTTATGGTAATTTACAGCTACTTTAGCCATCACAGATGATGCCTTTGGGATCAAGACTGTTTGAAGACTTAAGTGTTTGAAACTGTATGCTAACATGTCAAAACAGCATATATTTCAATGGGAATATCAAGTATGTACTCTAGAGATACATGGCTTTCAGACAGTGACGACTTAGTGTTGGAGATCTTTTACAAGCTGCCCAACTGTTGTCAATAAAACAAAATAATACGACAATATAACTAATCAATGCATCTATTCCCACACTCTACTGGCCACGATTAATCCAACGAGCCAACGGGTCAATAATCAATAGCTATTGATTGGCAGCTGAGGTTGCTAATCAGGGTTTTGATTGGTTGAATGAGTCCATGGGGAACGGCTTCACAAAGGCATGTAGCAACAGTGGGAAAGTGTCTGAGAGTTGTTTGAGATAATTCATAAAGTAGTAGTTGGAGGTTAATTATGTATTGTATATGTTGATGTTTTGGTCATTTTTATGATTTGTTGTCCCCAAGAGATTCCTCTGGAATAAAGAATATTGCTCTCCATTTAGCTCTGCTCCCTGATTGAAAAATGAATAACCAATTCAACATAGATAACAATTCTGTGAGCTGTTGGCACTAACAGATGGAACTGGTGTGAAACCAAATGCTATAGATTGACTTCACGATGGTTCTCTCTGATGCTATTGTTTGTTTTAATGTTTTTTATATCCAGTCAGGTTCAAATGGTTACGCTTGCTATTTCTCTGCAACACCAGATGTTAATCAGAAGTGAAGAGCCTTTCTCAAAGGGCACCTACACACATTGTTTTTAAAAATGGATATTACAACAAGTAAATGACAGAAACTATGACATATGGCATAAAAGGTTCTGTCTGTCTCTCTTTAAGGGTCCCAGGTGTAACCATAGCTACAGATATAATCTGTGGTTTTCCTGGAGAGACAGAAGAAGACTTCCAAGAGACCGTAGACTTGGTGAAACTCTACCGATTCCCAAGTCTCTTCATCAACCAGTTTTACCCCAGACCCGGTACACCTGCCGCAAAGATGGAGCAAGTACCAGCACATGTGGTGAGTGTGGACAAGAAGATGGAGACTACTAGGCGTCTGACATATGTGATTTGGGCTTAATTTAGCTGTTCATGCCTTAAAGTGAGAGAGATGTGAGCACAATTCACTTTACCTTTACACACAGTCTACACAATACGGTATGTTTGCCAGCACAAGTTCTTTAACAGGCGATAACTTTAGTATTTTTAGTACGGGACTGTAAGGGGGTTAGGGATATCTTAAACTTAAAACCAGACAGAATATTTAATAATAATAAATTATTATACAAAATTACTGGAGTAATACATAGTTAGACTAGTTGTACTTACACTGTGTGTGTGTGTGTG